GGTGGCGAGGTAACTGTGGAGGCTGTTCAAATGATCGCAGACCTTGTTAAAGATCATGATTGTCAACTACATCCTGATTCCATTGAGGTCTGCAACTTTAATTCCAATACAATGGCTCTAGGCTTTTTTCGTAGATTGTTTATGATGTCATCTTGAATTTGAAGCACATATCCTGGTATTGGGCCAAAAAGGACGAATATTTCAATGTCGATGTGATGACTGTGTCAAACATTTGGAAAGATAATGGTGTTCTTTCAAAATGTTGCTAGTCAACTTATGACACTAACACTCTCAGCAATGTTCATTCATGTATCTGGAAGTCTTGCTTAATTTTAGTTGGCATTTAACCTTAAAGATAAAGTTTTTGATTTAGCATTGGGAAAACTTATTATCTTATGACATGATTTTGTGATGCTCAGGTGTTTATGTCTCTGACATTTGATGAGGATCTTGGGAAGCGTGAAGCTCGGGATGCTGATAATAAATTTAAAAGCAAAAATGCAAAAAGAAAGAACCTTAAGGAGCTGAAAGAATCAGCTGCCAACGAGAAAAAGAAAGCACGGAAAGAGATGATGTCAAAGACACGAGAAGAGGTATTATTTTGCCAACATAATCTGTTATTTGGCTTGTTAACTATAACTTCATTTGCACATCTTCATGTTTTACAGGTCACTGCAGAATTGAAGGCTGCTTCATTAACTACCGATATCACTGAAAGGAGAAGGATGCAGTCTGATGCATTATCAGCTGTCTTTCAGACGTTCTTTCGTGTCCTAAAGCATGCATTAAGGCCTCGGTATGTTCATTTTGCTGATGATATAAATGGAGCATGTCAAATAATGAATTCACTTACCATGAACCCACCAGATATGAACTTGAACCACATCATATAACTAGTTCCCCTGTGAGAAAATACCAGGACTCCACCTTTTTAAGTGCTACCTGGCGTTTATTATTATTTTGATGAAGTTGGTAATTTTATTGATTTAATGAGAAATCCCCTCATACAAGGTGTATAGTAAAGTGGAGAATCTCACACAAAAACATGATCCTTTACAGGGAGCTATCTAGCTTTTATATAAAAAAGAAGAAAGACAAATGAAATCCTAGGAGAAAAGAACACATGACTGTCAAACCAGTCATTCATGTCCTTTCTCTATGCAAAACTATAACTAGCCATTAATGGTATACAAAGAAGAGGACGAATCAACTTTGCAGTAAAGGCCATTTTATGAAACCAGAAGAGATATCTGAAGAAGATGAATATCCATGATGGGGGAAAAGGGGAAAGCTACAGAAGTTTTTTTTGGATAACCGAGAAATTCCCGAGGCACAGTGGTGCATGTTACGGAATTTGGTGGATAATGGCCTGCCGCTCTACCCGTCTCAACTTAAATACCAAACTTTTGTTTGCATCTCTCATATATCATGAGACTTCTTGCCCCATTATCTCCTATTGATTATCGGACTTCTAACCTCATTTATATCATTCCTAATTCCACTAATTCTAGGATTGGGAGATGACTTCCTAATTCCTCTAGTTATAGTGTTACAATTATTGTATGACTACATAATACACTCGATAGTAGCCATCATAACTAAACATAATAAAGACATGCTTGCAGAGATTTATGTGATGTAAGTTCTAATCCCGAATAAATTGCTACTGACGTTCACTGGGTGATGTTTTACATCTTTCCAAGTGCTGGAACATAATGTCAGCTTGTAGAACTACATTAACTGATTTGAAATAAAACTTATCTAACAGAAATTAGTGCTTATGGTGCAGGTTGCTGAAGTCTTAATTCAGTTTGAGTTTGTTATCACAAGAAACTCATACTGGTTTTGGATATCCAAAGCATCTTGGATGTTATGTTTAAATTTTGCTTTATTAGCTCTTGCATCAGTACAGTCTATACTATACTTGACCACTGTGTTATCACTTAATGCCTTTTCACTTAATGCTGTCTCAAAAAGTAACTTCTATGTTATTATTACTCAGATCAGAAGCAGGTTCTTCACCTCAGGCACCTGGAAGTCATCCACTTCTTGCTCCTTGTCTTAATGGAATTGGGAAATTTTGCCAACTCATCGACTTAGATTTCATGTCCGATCTTATGAATTATCTGAGGAAGCTTGCTGGAAGTGGCAACAACTCTGGTGATTCTTCCATGGATGGTTCAGCATGTCTGACAGTATCTGAAAGGCTCCAGTGTTGCATTGCTGCTTTCAAAGTGATGAGAAACAACTTGGACGCACTGAATGTAGATCTTCAGGATTTCTTTGTCCAACTTTACAATCTGATAATTGAGTATAGGCCAGGAAGGTAAATCCGAGCCTATCAAATAACTAAAGTTCAATTATTTGACACGGGTAAATCTTTTTTCTTAACCCACTTCAGTCCTCTTTGAAAGAAGGAAGATTGTCAGAACGCGGGGTGGGGTGGGTTCTTTTTTTGGGGTGGGGGGTGGGTTCTCAATCCAATGAGATTTTGTAGATTTCTGTTAGTCTGTGGTTACATCTTCTAAAGCTAACCATTTTTCTTCGTAAGCAGGGATAAAGGCGAGATCTTAGCTGAAGCTTTGAAGATAATGCTCTGTGATGATCGACAGCATGACATGCAAAGGGCTGCAGCTTTCATAAAACGTTTAGCTACATTCTCTTTATGCTTTGGGTCTGCAGAGTCCTTGGCTGGTAAAAGCATATTTGGCTAATCACTACTAGACTGCTGTATGTTCTTAACCAAGCTTTTGTATTTTATGATTTATGCTTCTCGTTTGTCAAACTATTGCAGCCTTGGTGACTGTGAAGCATCTCCTTCAGAAGAACGTTAAATGCCGGAACTTGTAAAATGATGCTGGAGGTGGCTCTGTCTCTGGTGCCATTGCGGTGAGAACCAAATCTTTTTTCTGATTAACTATGTGGTCAAAAGGTGCTATCTTGATTATTAGGCTACCTTCACCCACAATGTAATAGTGTTGACGTGTTACTTACATAAGGTGGTTTTTACTTTTCTCTTCATTGAATATGGATCATTCAGGCACATGATATTTCTTGAAGAAAATAAGAGAAGTACACCCCTTCTGTTTTGGGACATCCCTAATTTGTTCCCCAGCTTCTTTTCTATACTTTCTTTTGGGTGGGGGATCAGGGAAGGGGACACTGGAGGGCATGGTAAACGTAAGGCGTGGATCTGTTGACATTTTTTGGTATAAACACTTTATAGAGCTTTACATCTGGTACTTTCAGGAGTGAGCAATTCTCATGCAAAGTACTTTTCATTGTATCTTCTGAACATATAGTGTATTGCTGAACTTTCCATTTGGGAAGCTCTGGATATGCTCATTGACATTTGTTTCTGTGTGCCACTCATGGCACAAAAAATATGCTTCATACTGAAATCACTCAACATGAAAAAGAAAAAAGCTTTCCACTTGTACCATTCATATTCAGTAGATAGTTGAACCACTAGAAAATGCTGATGGCAATTCTATTCTGTTGCAGAAATATCAGCCTTATGCAACTGACCCAAACCTTAGTGGTGCACTTGCTTCAGTGCTTTGGGAGCTGAACCTTTTGTCAAAGCATTATCACCCAGCTGTTTCTACAATGGCATCCAACGTTTCTATGTTGAGCACTGGCGATAACCAGGTTTACCAGTCCAACAAATCTCCTACACAAGCTTTTAAGGAGTTGTCACTTGAGCAGGAATCATTCATCGTAAAAAATGACCCCAAAAGCTCAAGTACCAAGAGAAAAAAAGGGAATGCCTCATTAGAGCATATTAGTATCGGGTCTGACCTTGATTTCACTGCTCAAATTGATGAAAATGATGTTAGAAAGAAACTCTCTGAGCATTACTTGCTGCTTCATGACATAGCTGAAAATGAAAGACTAAGAGGGGAATTGGCTCGGACAACATTGTCTCTGAAGCTGCACGAACAATATAAAAAGCAGAAGAAAAGAAGAACAAAGTAGGTATCTGTTGTCTACAATTTTGTAGGTAGATCTATTTAGCTGTTTTCAGCATTCTGCAGTATTTCTGGATAGGAGAGTGCAACTCGCGATTGTTTTGTATAAACTGGGCATAATCTATTTTGCCTTCTGATTATGAAATAGATCTCATTATTTATATTCCTCTCTTTTCTGCCTCCCCCTCTTTCCCAACTAATCTTGTATATTCGGTTATTAATAGACAAGATGAGAGAAGAGAAGAGAGAAAAATGAGGGTTCATTCTTTTCCATAAAGTATTTTACACACTGCATTATGCCTATTGATTTCTCATTATGTAAATAGAAGAATGGTTATCCTGATGTCCAGAAGGTTGTTTTCGCTTGGATAAACAAGATTAAAATGCTGATTTTTCTTTGTGATAAATAATAACAAGGAATTCCTACAAAGATTTGCCATTTTGTTTATGTGAAATCTACCAGATAACTGCGACTCAAAGATTCTCTTCGTAGAGAACTCGATAGCTAATATGGATATTAATTTGTTGCCAAAAGTGAATTTGATGACCATATAATCTCCTCTTTCTATATAGTGGCCTCTGTAAAATTTTGTGCAAACGGGTTCACTCGATATTAAGGTACAGCCGAAACATATGCTCCAGCAGGTGTCGCTGCTGACGTCTAATTTCTTATTATTTTTGGCCATATGTACCTCGAAATAATATATTCTGAGGTCGTACTCTGTTTATTATATCTTAAAAATGAACAAATTTAAAGCTAAATTGCAAGAAATTGATTTTCATTGACACCAAATATTTAGATGCATATTGACCTTTGTATTTCCACTTTAATCATTCGTTTTGTGCTAAATAGATTGAACCATTTGAAACTGATGAGTTTACAAACTTATCATCCTGATCATGCTACCATTACATTTTCAGAAGCTTATTAACATAAATCTCTCTTCAAAGTACCAATTTCCATATGATAGCAAAGATTTGGGTGTCACGGTGAGCAGAGACGGATCCAAAATTTTGAGTTTATGGATTATGAGATTCTAGAAAAGTCAGCTTAATGAGTTTTTGGATAAATTATTTATGCATATGAAGTGAACTTATTAATAAACCTGCTGAATTATATCAACAGTCTTTCAGATTCTTGGACGTGCAATATTACGTCAAGCTTGCTTTATTCTAACGTGAGCAATAACCTAAGCCTTTTGAAGTTACTGACTTTGCAACCATCTTCATATTAGATATTAATTCAGCATCATCTACTCTTGTTTATTAATTCATTTATTATTGCCAAACTGAACCCAAACCGAACTGAAAATTAATTGCCGTTGATTTGTTATAATTTGGAGTGCAAGCGTTAAAGTCATCCTTCTCTTCATTGTAAAGAACTTTTCGAGTCACATTTACCTATAAATATCTTGAGTATTTTTATTTTTATTACACTTTCTGTAGGTAGAAGTTAAACTATTTAAGAAACCTTTTTTTAGGTACATTAACTTGAGACTTTAAAAAATTAAGACCCCTCATAAAGTTTAGCTTTAGGCCACAAAATTGGTCGGGCCGTCCCTAATCGTATTACATCATTTTTTTATAATTCAATATTAGCTATTTCATACTTTATATTGTTATTTATCTATAGGTTTCCAGAAGCTATAGTTCTATCTCTACACTCACAAATTTCTAAAAGACCCAAAGATTCAAATCTTCAATTTATTTTATTATCTTTGAATAATTATTGTAAAGTATTTTTTTTTTTGTTATTTGTTTATAGTATTTGGTAATAAAGATAACAATAATTTTCATAAGATATATATTATCTCATAAATCATAATAAGACATATAAAGACTTATGTGGATTAGCATTTCTTTGTTTGATGAGCTAGCTTAGTGAGATTAACATTCATTATATTTAGAAACTTACATTTTTTTCTTTGATATTTTTTCAATAACTAAAACACATTATTGAATAATATATATATAATTTTTAAAAATTATATATTTATTGATATAGGTACACGCGCAAAGCGCGTACCCTAAGACTAGTATATATAAAGTTTTCTAAATGTGCCATAGGATTTTAACTAGGATAATTCTTCAATTAATTAATTAATTAATCAAAAGGAGCTTAGCCTTCTCTTGAAAAGGGTAGGAGGGGTTTCATCAGGTGGATTGACAAATTTGCAATTTGGACATGTTGGTGAAGATAGGGACATCATTACTAACATATGACATTTCTTGCAAACAGCAGTGACCATCTCTTGTTGATCCACGTCAAATGTTAGCCAAGAGGGAGAACGAGTGATCAAACCTTGACCCTCAGTACTGTTCTTTTTAATGTTGGAATTCTTGTTATTACCAATGAAATAATTTTGAGTTTTTTCAAAGGAAACCATTTGGACGATGATCAAAATTTCTGGCTTCTTTTTTTGCCTTTTTTTTTCTTCTTTTTGAGATTATAAAATGGTGTAAATATTGTGGACGGTTATATAGGGAGAGGTAACCAACTGCAATAGAATCTAAAAGGGCAAAAACTTAAATGTGGAACTAGAATGGGACCCATCTCTGCATGACGTGCTCTTCAAGTGAAGTAAATTCAATTTAATTGAATTGTATTTAATTGAAAGTTGGGACTTTGCAATTACTATACACCTCCAACCAGAGATGTTAAATACTAGTATGAGTATTCACTAACTCTTCTCTTCGGTCAAATCTTAACACTGTATTCTCATGCATGCACTAATTTACTTAATCGCTTTTGCCATCATAGATGATCACTTTAGTTAAATGTACGTAACTTGAAATCCTAAAAAATTATTGCTTACCTCATTTTATGAGAAGAATTAACCCAAATAGCAGTCCGCCTAATCGCTTAAAATTAAAAATAGCCGGTGGAGGTATAATATATATTATATGTGTATAATTATGTATAAATAATATATAATCTATGTATATGGGTAGAAAAAAGTAAACAGTAAATATAACCCGCTATTTGTGTAAAGAACCTTTTTATTATCATAGACAAAAAGGGAAAATGTATGCCAAATCATTTATATACATACTCTTTATATATAACCAAGAGAATTATATATTTTTACAAGAAATTTAATGACTAGCTAGAATAATTGATTGCATTTTTCTTGTCACTGTCCTCTGCTTGATATAGTTGGCCTACTATTAATAGCTGACCGACGTAATCGTGGTGTGTATAGTAAGCTGCCATTAATGCCAATTACTTTAAAATGGATTGGAAAGAACATGAAAATTAAACTTCATTCATGAGATATTTATCCCTTCAGTATGGCATATATAACTCTTTAAGGAAGAGTTTTTGACCAAATTCTTATCTCTAGTCCATTCACGAATGACTTTTTTCTTTTCGTTTCTCTTGGTGCTTGTTATAAATTGGCCTATAGTTTCGATATTGTCCAGACAATAAATCATAATGTGTAGGAATTGTTAGGTGGAAATTAATGTTTTATTTTTTTTTCTTTTATAGTTGTTCTTAGCTTGTCCATATTTAGCTTGTATATATGCTTGGACAAGAGGGGTTGCTTTGATGGTAAAACAACCCCCACTTCCAACTGAGAGGTTGTGAGTTCGAGTCTCCCCAAGAGCAAGGTGAGAAGTTTTTGGAGGAAAGAATGCCGGGGGTCTATTTGGAAATAGACTCTCTACCCTAGAGAGGTTGTGAGTTGTTGTTGTATGCTTTTTATTTTATACCCGTCACAA